CCTTTCTTCTTAGACTATGATCTTAGTTTGGCTTGGATATTCATTTGCTTGGTACCCTGACCAGATAGCATCAGATGTGGTTCTAAGTCTATGACTGATAGTAACACAAAAAATGGAAATGAATAATCAAATGAATACTACTGTATATTACTCATTAAATCTTATATTTAAAAGCTTTATTAAATCTCTCAGTCAATAAACATTTTCTGTGCATATCCTGTTTCTTTTCTGTGTTACATCTTAATGATCAACAAGTCTCTCCATATTGCACCTAATTTCTCCCTTCTATAGCTCTGATGCATGCCCTGGTGTTTGGCAATGTGACTGCCATAATACAGAGGATGTACTCCAGATGGTCCCTTTATCACACAAGAACCAAGGATCTGAAGGACTTTATACGGGTCCATCACCTGCCACAGCAGCTAAAGCAAAGGATGCTTGAATATTTCCAAACCACATGGTCTGTCAATAATGGAATTGATTCCAATGAGGTAACCAAAGAGGAAGGTTGTGCGTTTAATGGTTTTGGTTATGGAATTACAGTCAGGGGGGGAGGAGGGAGTAATTTTCCATTTGTAACACTGTGTTTTGTGTGGTGTTACATATTAAAAAAGAACATTCCTAAAAATAAAGCTAGGTTATCCCAGGAAGACAGTATACTACTGAAAAAACTTATATTAAAAATTCACCTCTTCCAAAATTCTTGAATGCTGAAGTGGTATTAATTAGAAAAATTCTGGCTGATGCAAGCAGAAACATGCCAGTGAGCAATTCTACCTTTCATAAAAAAAACCCAAAAAAACAACCAACCTACTATTTTTAAAGGGTGGACTTGTTTGCTTCTCTTTCCTCCTACCTTCATTTTCTTTAATTCTTTGCAGTACTATAAACAAGTGGTTTGACTTGGATTTTTATGTTATTTCTTTCCCAATATTTTTAAATATTACACAAAGTAACATGAGTGTGAAATCAAAAGACAGATTTCTGGTCGTGTCTTTGCTTGCTCATTTTAAATGACTTATCCAGGTTATGTACTACTATACTCGAGGAGAAATAATGGTTGGGTTGTTACTTGAATGAACCATTCCCTTTAGAGTTCTTGCTACATATGTCATTATAAAACTCAGTGGCCTCTAAAGATAATGTGAAAATAAGCAGAAAGGTTGGAGTTTGAGAACACTCTCTTACTGATAATTCCTTTTGCGGTGTGCACAGCACAAAGAATGGGATTTTCAACAACATCCTAGCAAATGAAGGAGCCTAGTAAGATTTACAAAAGTACAAAAATTACTTAGATGTCAAAGCTTTCCTGGACTGGGTTAAGGATCACCTTCAGCTTCTGTACCTTTAGTTGCACTGAAAGTGAACTACTACAACAGCGGCCTCTAGAGAGATAGTATTTAATTATGTGCCTCCTGTCCACAAACCGCTTTGTCTAAGCTCACTTGGTCGTCAAGTGTTGGCTGATTGCATTGCTCAGATATCAGATCTACAAACTACAGACAAAACTATGTTTGTGAGCTTGCAGCTTGCCAGGTCCAGACCTCTGCCTGTGGGCAGACAGTATACTTTGCATCAATGGGGCTGACAATTGAAACCACTTAAACATTTTTTTAAAAGATCCACCTGAAAAACTTGTGATGCCTTGACAAAAGCCAAAATGATTTGAACAGTTATAGGACATTCTCAGAAGACTGTCTCTTGGCATAAAGATACTTGTCTCAATTTTGCCTTCCGGCAGCAGATTTTCTGTAAAGCATACATAGGTTTCATGAAGTGTTGGCCGGGCTATTTTGGGAATTTGCCTAAAATTAAGACCAAGAGAATAGAGGAAGACTTTATGGTTTTTTAGTTTCCGTAGGTCCATAGGTTCTTACGCTGAATATGCATCTTGTCTCCATTCCTTTCCTATCTCTCTGTCAGTATCTAATTTCATCATTAAAAAAAGAGAAAAAAAAAGAAACTTTAAAAATATAACAAAAAAAAAAAAAAACACACACACAAACAAAAACCATAGAGGCTTCTTTGCGTTATTGCTCTCCCAGTGGTTTGATTAATATTATGCAAACATTTCAAAGAAAATCTAAACTAAGTGGATTTTTAATCTGTTTTCAGTGTATATGCCACTGTGTACAGTGGCACACCTGAACAGCTTACGGTGTTATAACAGCTGAGAACATGGACAAAGTTAAATTGTGCACTAGGGGAAATTCCTACACACAGTATGATTGACTGCTTTTCTTGGTTTTGTATAAAGGCACATTTTTATTCATGTTTTTTCCTGGAATTTGTCAGTGTTTATCAGCGTAAAGATTTATGAAGTCATGGCACACTTCTTATTGAGGGGATAAGAAAAATCAAAGGAAAATCTCTGCAACAGTATGACACGTGCAGCACTACTAATTCAGATCACTTCTGCAAAAGGAACAAATTATTTTACACTTTTTTCTCATTTTCAAACCTTTTCCTCTTTTTTTGACAGCTTTTAAAAGACTTCCCAGATGAGCTCCGTTCAGACATCACCATGCACTTGAACAAGGAGATTTTGCAACTCTCCCTTTTTGAGTGTGCCAGCCGTGGTTGCCTCAGGTCTCTGTCTCTGCACATTAAAACCTCCTTCTGTGCTCCTGGGGAATACCTGCTCCGGCAGGGAGACGCCCTGCAAGCAATCTACTTCGTGTGCTCGGGTTCCATGGAAGTCCTAAAAGACAGCACGGTGCTGGCAATTCTTGGTATGTTCATAATCACAGTTTCAAAGAGAAAGAATGGTCCTCCAATGTAGGAGGACCTTCACTAGTAATTGATGGCTTAGCATGTCCCTGTAGCCTGATGAGAAGGAATTTGTTCCAGTTTTACTCTGTTATTCATACTCTGTGGACATTCTTAATTGTTTTTGTTTTAAACTTTCTTATCTTTTGCCCCAAGGAGCCTTCAATTGCTAGAGTGTTACTGGTGCAATACTTCACTTGTGTACTCATTTTCTTATACTTTATATACTCACTTTGTGTACTCACTTTCTTATACTTACTCTCTCTCCTTTGCATGTAGGGAGGTACTTGCTAGCTTTTGATACAAATTGCTGCTTTCAACTAAATTTCATGGCAGTATTGACACTTCAACATACATTCGTTATTAGTTCCTAAATCTTTCATGAAAACTAGTGGCCAGGCAGTGCTCTCACTAGTGCTCCAAAATGAAAGCAAGCAATGTGAGCCTGTCACTCTTTACTCTTTACTGTCACTCTTTGATGCATGAAATGAACACCCCTTGCAGGACATCTAAGTGATGAAGAACAAGCATTGTTGGCTCTGCTCCCCAAAGAGTTACTTCTTCAAGCTAATTGATGCTCCCAGCCATTATCTGAGTATCATAGAATCTTAGGGGTTGGAAGAGACCTCGAAAGAT